AATGGGTTAACATTTTTGTTTTACTTTCATATGAGAATTTTATACATTTTTATTGTGTGATATATAGTGTAAAGCTTGATTTAATCTCGATGAGTATTAGTGCATAGTAATTCTAAGATGTTGCTACTTAATGTGAGAAAGTTCCTGATAGCTCCAAAGGCACCAACAAAAATTCTAGATAGCTATTCTCAAAAAAGATGATTTATATTGAGAGGAATGTATATTCTGTAGTGACATGTGAAGATCATCATACAACATTCCCCCCTGTGTGTGGGTGTTTGTCTGTGTATTTGGGTGTATGTGGCTGTTTTCGTGTGTGGGTGTGCATGTGCATTTACACATGTGTCCATGTGTGAGTATGCAACTGTGTATGTGTGTGTGTGTGAGTATGTCTATAATTTAGATTCATCAGTTACTGCCCTCTTGCATAGGTTTCAGAGCCTTCAGAACCAAATTTCCTCCTAACAAAAACAATATTTCCTTCTGTTACAGAATGAAAACCTCCTCTACGTACACAATGAGGAAGGCTACAACCTCCTTCAAAAGGTCGTGGGTATCAACAATGTGGAGATGGTCAGGTGGTGCCTCACACGGAATGTGGATGTCAACCGAGGAGTTTGCTCTCTACCCCTTCATATAGCATGCCTCAGAGGGTAAAGGACACATGTATTTGTTTTTGCCTTTTATTTGTGTTGCCTTATATTTAGAACTCCATTGATTTGTACATTTTCTGTAATTATAATCATCTATCATTTTTGTTAATGGCAATGCATTGTCTTAAGTAATATTGTACATAAAGTCAGATTATGAATAATGAAGGTATTACCTCCAATTCCCAATTTAAGAGTTTTAATTATGCTGTTCCTGGCTAAGGTTTGGCTCCTTCATTAACCCTGTACCTTCATGTACATTGAATTAAGAGTTTAGATAATCAGTCAGTAACTGCTTGTTATATAATGAAAAAACAGTAGAGAAAAGGTTTTTTTTTCCAGAAGAATTGTCTTTCTATATAGATGTAAATAGCAGTATTTTCTCCAATTTGTCTACCAAGATACGAGGACTGTGTTGAAGTGCTGCTCAAACATGGGGCCAGAATTGATGTTGAGGCCCGAATGTGCTGGCCTGGGCCACACAACCAGAACTGTGAGCAGCGGGGAAAGTACTGTAAGTTTGCTGGTTGATTTTTGCGATAGTGCTGAAAGATGGTTTTAAAGTCTTGTGTCAGATACAAAAGCTTTTGATTATTTAGAAATTGCATGCTTTATATTTATATGTATGTGCAGTTATATTGTGTGTTGGATATTATCTTTACAGTTATGATTTATTTATTTACTTGCTTTTGTTTTATTCCAGGTGTGCCTGATGTGGCAATGGGGGACAGATCCAGTGATAAATTACAGAATGCTATATATTATGCCATTGATGGAGACCAGGTATTGATGTGCATTATATTAGAATTGCCTTTTGTTTCAAAAGCACGAAAGGAAGATAAAACAATAATGGTATCTTTTTTTATTGCCATTAAAATCTCTTAAAACAGCATTTTTACAAATGTAGACACTGGTATGTCAGAATTGGAACCATAGTCACTTTACACTGTTTAGTATACAAGCACTTTCACTTTGCTTGGAATCTCACTTTGGATATGAACTTAGGTCGACATACTGGAGTTGCTGACCCAGCAAGGAGAGGACCATTGGTTACCTTGGCAACAGAAACGGCCTTTGCTCCATATTGCCTGTGAACGTGGAGCCTGGAACTGTGTTAGGTATTTAGTGTTAGAAAGGTAAGTGTATATTTCTTTAAAAATGGATGTTACATATGAATTAGAACAGATGGAAGACCAAGTTTTCATGGGTAAATACTCAAATGTGTGTGTGTATAATTAACCCGTTGGATCCGGTTGCGTTACGGAAATCATGGTACTGAAAATACGGGCAGTGGGTTGCATGAGTAGCCAATATCCCAGGCGTATGGTACATAGGCTGGGCATGCGTGAACACCCATGAGCAATGACACTTTGCAAAGTTATTTTGTGTAAACATTTTTAGCTGTTTTGCCATTTTCCAATATCCATATTTGACTTTTGATTTGTTTTATCCAGATGGCAATAGTTTATTTTCCTTGCACAGACTCCATATCATCTCTCTATGTAGTAAATAACTGAGAGAGAGAGAAAAAAAAAATGGAACATTTGGTTATTTGTACGCATAACATATCTTGTTTTTTTGTATTTTTCAATTTTCCATAATACAACCTGCACCGCCAGTCACAGTGGCCAGGAATACAGTGCGCAGCATGGAAATGCTATCCTTGTTGGAGCTGGCACATTCCAGTCACAGCTTACATTACACTCCATATTCATTTATCAATGGGAATAATGCTAAAGCCACCTTCTATACGCTGAATAAGTCAAATCACACTCCAAGAGGTTTGTGCACTCATGGAGAGCCTTTTAAGGCCCTTCGCTCACCCAACCTTCAACCATTTTGCCTGATGACGGCATGTTCATGTCACCCGGGCCTCAACCCAAATTTTTCCATGATAGAACCGTAATGTCATCCGGATCGTAGGGGTTTTGGATTGTTTTTTTTAAATTATTAACTTTATTTATGCAAAAGGCAAAATGCTTTGAAAGATCTTATTTTCTCTGGTAAAACTTTTAAGAGACAGTGACCACCACATTTCAGACTAATGAATAAACTCCCTTCTGTAAATGAACAGGTCTGATGAGATCAACCAGTGCTACGATGAGTACTACCCCATCCACCAAGCGGCACTCCACGATCTTAAATTCCTCGACCTCCTTATTCAGTGCGCAGCCGAGACCACTGTGCGCACCTACACCCAACAAATGACCCTCCTCCATGTGGTTTTCCTGTTAGGCAAGAAGAGTGCTGAGGACACTTTAGAGACAGTAAAGTTGTTACTCCAGCATGGCTTGAAAGAACACATAAACACTGCTGACTCTTTGGGCAATACACCTCTCCATGCTCTAATTGTTCGGTGAGTGTGTGTGTAATTGATGACAGAAGAGGAATAGTGTGAGAATATGAGCCTGTTTATCTGTTAAGCAGAATTGATAGATCTGTATATGAGTTTTATTTTCTTGCCGGATCTTCAATAGAGGTAATTAATCTTCCATATGTATAATTTCTCCAGATATGCCCTGGAGGAAGCTCGCTATGGCTATGACCTCGATCCTCCTCCATGGAACAAATGGGATATGCTCCACATTGTCAGATACCTACTCCAAAATGGGGCATCTCCTAGTATCAATCAGCCCGGGAACTCAGCCCTGGCGTGTGTGCTGAGACATGTGCGCGACTGGGAGTTCCGCTATGAATTGCTGGACATGCTATTACACTATGGCGGAAACCCCAATCTTGTAGGCAGGGATGGTTCGGTGCCTCTCATGGTTTGCTTAGTCCCTCTGATCAACAAAGATCCACTGCACCATTTTACCCACACAATGAAGGTTAGTGGTTTTGTTATTCTGAGTTATCAGAAGAATTTTGCAATATCACAAGATCTGTTAGTCATAATTATTGTTATTGTTTAGATTAGAAGAGTCCATAATATGTATCATTTCAATATTATTGGTAGACCTAAGAATTGTGTGTCCTAAGGTGTTCCCAGACCATATACATATATTGGTCTGGGAACAAATTTGGATGCGTGTTCCCTCAAATGCAATATACAGTCTGCCATCCATAAGTACCCTTTATCATGATCTACAGGTATTCTACTTAAACTGTGTGAGGATACTGTGCAAACATGGTGCTAATCCGAACTGCTCATCACGATCAAACCTCACACCTCTGCATGTCCTGATGTTCACTGCCAGTGAGAATCTCTCTCTCTCTCGAGAAGAGGATAAAGCAGGTGCTTTCACGTTTATTCGGCAGCTACTTGTTATTCTTCTACAGCATGGTCTTGATCCCAACGTAAGGTAAGGTGTACATGTATGTTTTTAGGTTTATTTATGTGAATCCTTGCTTATGTGGACATGTATTTCACTATCTTAAGAAATTTTAGATTTCAGATTTGTTAATTTTACTTATCACCATTAGTCCCATCAGTATCAAATTCACTTGTGCAAGTAAAATATTAAAACACTGCCTGGTTTCCTCAAAAAGGTTCAGTCAGCGGACGCAACATATCCTGCTGTCTTTGATGGACATGGTACAAAATGCCAGAGCCCCGAGTGATCTAGACCATGTCTATGACTTGACGACAACCCTTCTGCAATATGGAGCCAATCCCAACATTAACATTTCTACGACCGAACCTATGATCTGCCATTCCCAGTCATCTGTCTTCCTAAAAAAGTCATCCAATCAGGTTTGCATCTTATAGTTTTCCATAGAAGTTGTATTGTTCATCGGTTCTATTGATTATTGCTTATGGGTTATTCTCTTGAGTTATTAATGTAAAATCACTCAACTGCCATACACAATTCAAAATTGTGCATTCCTGAAATTCCTGTGTTCCACCATACATTTTGTTATAGATGATATACATATTTGTGTCATTTTGCTCATGATATTATAACAAGGAAATGTCTTATTCCAGAAAAAACACTTATGCTTAAGTTTCATTTGCCAGACTGGCTGCCCAGCCCTGTATTTTGGTTATTGTCCCCCAAGCTTGGTGTGTTTAGGCTGGCTTGAAGTTATAATGGCATAATAATATTCAGAAAACATCTGAGATGATCATAAACTAGAAATCATCTCTGCTCCCCCCAAAAAAATAATTGCAGGATCTTGACATATAATACTTAGGCTTGTGGACCCTCAGCTTTGGAAATGTAGTTGACTATATGCTGTTCTTTTTCAGGTACTTTATTATTATGTGCAGCTGTTAATTAGGAAGGAAGAGCTGCTGATTGACCCAGACCAGAGGTTTGCTCGGCTGCTGCACCTCTACTACTTGGCCATGGACCACAAAGAGTTGCACCAGTGTCTCAAGATCCTGTACACTCAGACGTCACTTGTGCCCATGAAGCGTCCCTTGACACAGGTTCTGAGGTAGGTGTGAGGTTTCCCATATAGCCGGAACTTTCTGTAATTTAATTAGACATGCTTGAGTAGTGATGGGCTCAATATTTTATATTGAAGTTATTTTGTGATTTGTAGTTCTAACAGTTATTATTTTTACTATTAAGAAGAAAACAAAAACAGGGTCACTCAAGTACTGGTATCCCTTTGCCTATTATTAAAGAGAAAGTGATCTCTACATTATTATTGGAAGAATGCAAGTATATAACCTACTACCTCTAGAATAATATCACAAAGTATGAGCAGCAAGCCATTTTTTTGAAGAAATAAGTTCTTTTTACATACCATCTACCATAACTCATGAAGACCTATTTGCTGTGATTGTGGCTTGCTGCATCCAGTGTGGTTAGTTCACAATGCTGTGCAGGTTGTCAAAAATGATGGCCTTTTTTTCATGCTGCTTTCTTTATCAGTGAGATATATGTAGTGTCCACTGTTATGTCTAGTAGGGATCAGCAGGTTTCCTCTAGCTGCACTGTTATAGGCCCTCCTCTTTCTTTGTCAGTTGTTAGAGCTATGTTCCCTGCCTCTTTTCATGACTCAAATGTGTGTGAAGTATAATTCTGTATAATAATGTTTCTTGCAACTAGACCCCCATTTATTTCTAACCTTGATATAGAATCAATGTCATATCATAGGTTTCTTTACCACTCATACCTCAAAATACATAATATCTTTATTTCTAAGTTGGTAAATAGCTTTCCCCTTTCCAAGAAGGGATATTACGTGTACAGAAATAAAAGAATGTTGACATGTGCTTCCTTTTAAATTAGGTCATGTGAAATCAGTAGGATAACCACTTCCCACTGGTTGGCATGTATATAGATGCCATGGCTGTTGTGGACAAAGTAGCGGGTGGCATCAAACACAACCATTCCCTCACCTTCAGCTCATCAGACAGAACTTGTTTTTCTCCAATATCAGTGGCATCATTTTATAGTAAAACTTTTAGACAATAGCACCTAAAGTGGAGGTAAACCTTTAAAAATTGGCCAGCACAAACGGAAAACTGTTGATACACGCCAATAAGCCCACAATCATGTCCACTTTTCAAATATTTTAGCCGGCATTATTAGATTAAATTTATGTAAATTATACTCATGTTGGTGCATGTATTGTAAATTTTCATCATAATTTAAATATAAAAATAACATTTCACAAGCTTTATAACTGGTTTTGATATCCTAATTATTTTGATGCATCCTTTTTACTGTCAATGATTCATAAATATGCCTACATCCCAGATAGTCACCTGTAGCTGTTTGATATAAGTCTGAGGGATCCTCCCCAAGGGATAATTATGTGTGCCCTACTTCAACCTTTCGAAAGTATAACCAAAATTCTTTTTACAAGTTATTTCATCTTCTTTCAGAGACCTCTACACAAAACCCAGGACCTTGAAACAAATATGCCGAGTAATCATCTATGATTCCTTGGAGAGAAGAACCACCCAGAATGTCAATAAACTACCACTTCCAGGGATACTGAAAGATTATATTCTGAACTTTGATCCTTGAAGATCTAATGGGTAGAGCTTAGGATCAGTGGAATGTTTATGAATCTTCTCAGATAGATGACCTTGTTGAGAGGGCTCCAAGAGCATCAATAATAGATAGGTTGCTATTGAGCCTTGATATTCTCCTCTCTTGTTGATATGTGATTTAAGTAGGAAAAGGCTGCAGCCTAAACAGTGAAGTTTGTAGTAGCTTCCAGGTTTGTGTACGAAGCTATGGATTGCAAAAGCATCAGTGCTTATATTATGTCATGTATAATGTGATAAAAATAAGTTGGTATTCTGTTGAAAAAGCTGTTTGGAAATCTGCTCTGTTAGGCATCTATAGAGATTAATGTCCAGAAGGACACCAGAGTGAGTAAAATGACATTATAAACTGTCCAGATTTTAATTAAAAGCTTTAGTATAACTCCATGAGCTTTCCTAGTTATCTGATGTATATATGGTGTATATATTGAATGATGTTCTGGCAGTGGTGCTCGAGATTTATTTGGTGTATTCGTAATTTTGCCTATTGTGTAGTCAAGAGACCCTGTGTCACTGGTATAATGTACTGGAGAGAATATGAAAATTATCAATACATAATGCTGCAGGATGATGAAAATAAAAAAAACATTTTAAAAAATCTTTAAAAAAAAGCAGTGGATAGTGCAACATATAGCTTTTAATAGAACTCCTGTGCTTTATATGCTGAAGATGGACTTTGTGGTAAATGCTGTTTTGCTGTTGGATTTATATGACAACCATGTTGCAGGTGTAGTGATGATATGAGATAGATGAGGCAATTCATCCAAGGAAGAGCCTCCTCCCTTACCAGACCTTTGTTGATTTTTTTTCTCTTTCACTCTTTCTCTCCCTTTCTCTCTCCTTAAACAGTGTCAGATATATGGTTGGTTTAAGTTACTGAAGGGAAGTCCAATATTAATTTAATGGAAATTTAACCAAAGATATAAAAAAAAAAGATATTTTTAAAAATTTATGTTGTAAACTATTTACCCAAGTTTAATATTTGGGCATTAATTTGTTTAATTGCAGAGGTATCTGTTGAAATCTTTACTTGAAGAACTATTAGAATTTTTGTAAATAGTGTGAAAACTCTGTTGCATGAATATGGTAATTTGGTTTATGTAAATTACCTTCAGATTTGTTATTAAACTCTCAGTTTTACTGATGTTTCAGAACCACAAACCCATTATGTTAATGTCAATTTCTCCCCAAGAAAAAAACTTCTAAAAGTTTGATATTGAAAACAAAACAAACCAAAATTGGTTACGTGGCTTACAGAAGTAATGCAATTATGAATGATAGTGAGAGAACATTTTAATAAATCTGACCAGAAAATGTGAGGCTGTAGTGCCATTATAGATTGATGAATAAAAAAAGTCTATTTATACTATAAATATATGCATTGTTTCTATTTAGTGTATTATACTCTATTTATTAATAAACAGAAAAATCCTTAGAACTAGAACAAACTCTTGCACTCTCTCATGCACACTCACTTTCTCTTTCTCCAATGCAAACTAATTCAGGCAAACACACACACAAACTAACATACCTACACTAACACTCATGAATCTATAACATGAATAAATAAAATAAAATAACATCTTACTACATAGAAGTTGCCAGTAAAACTGACTTGGCATGCAATTTGTGTGTAGATAACAACACCAGTCATTACCAGCTATGAATCTTGTCTAAACCATAGAAAATTGGTTTATAAAGCACTACACACTAGATATCCGGTCATGGAAAGCTATGTATTGTGCAAAATTCAAGAAAAAAAGATACATGTAATGAATAATTGATACAAGATTATGAAGAGCCACATAACACCTTTCAATACATGGGATAGAAATAATGGTTAATGGTTAATGACTGAAACAAAGAAAAGTGCTAGATATCAAAGGTCATGTAGCACTATGGTAGAGAATTGTGGTGAAAAGTGTAAAGAGGAGTTAACGACCTGGATAAAATGTGTTACATGTCAAAGGTTATAGTGTTACAGGATAGCGTGATAGGGAATGGAGTAAAGAGGGGGTGCAAATGAAGTAAATTGAAGATTAGTAAATGAAAGGATTAAGGGCATAGGGCAATTGGATTGAAATGGAGTTTATCCGTGGCTGGGAAAGCAATAGAAACATTATTCAAGGAAAACTGGCAAAAGAGCTATTATTAAACAATCAGCGGGTAATATGGGTAGAGATGGCTGTAGGATTAACAGCAGGGGAAGAATCTGGGGATGAGATACAGGGACTGGGGAAGATGATGAAGTGTGAAGAAGAATGTTGAGGGGAGTTATCAGAAGGACACTGTTGCAACAGAAGGGATTCTCGTGAACATCCAGGTGGGAGAGATAAGGCTAATGGGGAACAAAGAGGGAATGGTACACATGGAGGAGAGGATAGGGTGTGTTGGGAAAGAGTGGGAGGAGGATAGATATTGACAAATACTTTGAATGTAGAGGAAATAAGGATAGAGGGTGGTTAGCTCAAATGAAGGATATTTATGCATCTGAGGAAGGAGAACAAATTATCACTAGAAAAGGTGGGGGATTCTGTGAGGATGTCTGACAGCTTGGGGGGTTGGGGAAGAAAGGATACGTGAGGGAGAGTATTGGTATAGGCTTCAGTTAAGCAGGGGCATGATAATAGGATATGTAGGACAGAAAGAAGGACAGGTATGGGGCTGACAAAGGAGAGATTGAAGTTTATTGGTGTTCAGACCTGACAAGAAAGATTGCCAGTGGTTGTAGAGGAAACCAGCATCTGAGGTGGATTTAGAGCTGTCAGTATCATGAATATTAGAGGAGTGACTAAGAGATATGTGCAAGAAAATGTGTGAGGAGGATGGAAGGTAGAATATTTGACTATGGTAGAACGGGGGGAAAAAAGAAAAGCAATTTCAAGAGGCAGGTATCAGCCAGGGAGGGAAAGTTTGGGCAGAAGAGAGGCAGAGGCAGAATATATATCAACCATAATCAAGGGTGGAGAGGATTAGCGTAATGTGGAGAATGGAGGGAGTGTTTTGGCAGTCTAAAACCAAGGAGAGAGAGAGAGAGAGAGAGAGAGAGAGAGAGAGAGAGAGAGAGAGAGAGAGAGAGAGAGAGAGAAGAGGAGAGAGAGAGAGAGAGGAGAGAGAGAGAGAGAGACAGAGAGAGAAGAGAGAGAGAGAGAGAGAGAGAGAGAGAGAGAGAGGAGAGAGAGAAGAGAGAGAGAAGAAAGAGGAGAGAGAAGAAGAGAGAGAGAGAGAAAGAGAGAGAGGAGAGAGAGAGAGAGAGAGAGAGAGAGAGAGAAGAGAGAGAGAGAGAGGAGAGAGAGAGAGAGAGAGAGAGAGAGAGAGAGAGAGAGAGAGAGAGAGAGAGAGAAGAGAGAGAGAGAGGAAGAGGAAAGAGGAGAGGAGAGGGAGAGAGGGAGAGAGAGAGAGAGAGGGAGAGAGAGAGAGAGGCGAGAGAGAGAGAGAGAGAGAGAGAGAGAGAGAGAGAGGAGGAGAGCAGAGAGAGGAGAGAGAGAAGAGAGAGAAGAGAGAGAGAGAGAGAGAGGAGAGGAGAGAGAGAGAGAGAGGAGAGAGAGAGAGAGAGAGAGAGAGAGAGAACAAAGCAAGAAAAGAGAGAGACAGACCGAGAAAACAGTTGCCGTAGGCCTCCAGAAGCTGACTGACGTTCGAGTTGCCACATGGCGACGCGCACGGAGGCTCCGATAAGTAATTCACGGCGGGAGATTTATACGTGCGGGGGGGGGGGGGGTTAAAAGGGGACGCTGTAAAAGCAAGGAAGCATAGAGATAGGAAGGACAGCGATAACTGTAGTGGGGACGATAAAAAGGATGGGAGGGATGCGCACGTAAACACAAACACGAAAGCACGTATACGCACACACGCTAACACACACACACACACACACACACAGATACAAACCCACACGCGCGTACATAAAAAACAAAAACTCTGGTTTATATCACATCATAATAATTGATAGTGTCGTCATAACATGATGGTCATAATCAGATATATAATATAT